TAGTAATCGTGGATAATAATGCTACGGTGAATAAAAAAAACTGGATGGTGTACTAATCGCCCGTCAAGGGCTGAAAGTGAATGTGACACGAAGCTTTGTATATATATAAAATAAAATAAAAATAATAAAAAAAATAAAAATTTTTTTATTCTTATTTTATATGTTATGCTTGTTACTTCTCATTCATAATTAGTTTTAAGTCGTAACATAGTAATCGTAGGGGAACCTGTGGTTGATTAATTAAACCTGTTTTATATAAACACATATTTTTAAATAAATATGTTATAATTCTAAAAAAGCAAACTTAACATATATATAGATTTAAAAAAAAAAAAAGTCTTATAATTTTTATATATTATATATAATTGATTATAATTCTTAAAAAAAATAAACATATATATTGATAATTAAAAAAGAGAAAGAGTTATAATTTATAAAATATAATTTTATAATACTAAAAAACAAATTAATAATTATATTTGATAATAAACGAGATTCAAAATTATTTATTTTTTTATGTTATAATTATTAATAAAATTAGTAATTAAAAAAGAGAAGAAAGTTATAATTTTTAAAAATTATTTATTAAATATTAATTTATTTATATATATACGGATGTGGTGAAATGGTAGACACGTTATATTTAGGATATAATAGTATTATACTATGTGGGTTCAAATCCCACCATCTGTAAAATATATAATAAATATAAAAATATAAACCATTATAGGTTAATTGGTAAACTATCTTTCTTCCAAAGAGATGTTATTCGTTCAATTCGAATTAATGGTATTAAAAATAGGCTTTGTAGCTTAATGAAAGCTGTTGTTTGTCGAACAACCAGTTGCCGTTTCGTAGACGGTCAAAGCCGAAAAAAAAGTATAAGGGGATATAATATAATGGTAGTATATGGTTTTTGCAAAACTAAAGTAAAAGTTCGATTCTTTTTATCTCCAATTAATTAATAATTAATATATCTTTATATTAAAAATTAATTAATTTGAAAAGATTTTATTTTTTCAATAAAAATTTATATTATACATCATAAAAAAAATAAAAATTTTTAATTAATGAAAATTTATTACAGAATTTCTATTCTTATTTTTTTAATTTCTTTATTTTTTTACCAACTTACTTATTTTTTCAATTATATTCATCTAAATATATTAGAACCTTGTAAATTCATAATAATGATTTTTTTTCCGGATAGACCAAAACGGTTGCATAATCCGGAACGATTAGATGAACAAGAATTTAATGGGTTTAATAAAAATAATATAAATCAAGATAATTTAAATTGGGATGATTTATTAAATAATTTAATAGATTTATTAAAATATTGGATTCAAAATTTAATAGATTTATTAAATAATTGGATTTATAATTTAAATATTGAATTATTTTTTTTAATCTTTATATTATTTATATTAGTAATTATTAATATTATGAAATATTTGGATATTTCAAAATATTTTGAAATTTTTAATGATGCACCAGAAAAATTTCAATTATCATTTCAAGATAGCGTTACTACATCAATGGAAGGAATAAATATATTAAATAATACTATTTATTTCTATGAATTTATTATATTAATTTTAATAACTTGGATTTTTATATCAATATTTTTAAAATTTGTAGGTAATTCAATATCCTATAAATATAGTAATCATAGTCCTAACTTAGAAATAATATGGACTTGTACTCCTGCTTTAATATTTACTTGTATTGCATTCCCTAGTTTTAGATTAATTTATTTAATAGATGAAATAGAAGAAACAAATTTAACTATAAAAGTAATAGGTCACCAATGGTATTGGAGTTATGAATATCCTGATTATAATAGTGAAATTTCATTTGATTCATTTATGCAACCTACGGAAGACTTAGAAAAAGGACATTTTAGATTATTAGAATTAGATAATAATCCAATTTTACCAGTAGGTACACCTATAAAAATTATAACTACTTCTAGTGATGTTCTTCATAGTTTTACTATTCCATCTGCTGGATTTAAAATAGATGCTATTCCTGGTAGATTAAATACTATTACTTCTAATTTTGATAGAAAAGGAACTTTTTATGGTTAGTAATATTGGCCATAACCATAGTGAACCTATGGTTATAAATCATCAAATTGACAGGAACCCCCTAAAGAAATCTTAACCAAGTAAGTATGGTAACATAACTTATGGCACAGATAATGACTCGTGGTATGGTAAAATCAAGATTTATAATTCAATGGGAAATCCGCAGCCAAGTACCTATAATTATAGGTATGCAGTTCATCGACTATACGGTGGTTGGTATTATAAATAATGCTTAAGATATAGTCAAACCCTACCCGAAAGAGTACAGGAGATTATGAAAATTTTATAAAATTATCCATAATCTCTGTTAAAGAAAAATTTTAATATATTAAAATTTTTCGGGATAAAAATTCTATAATAGTTTGCTAAACTTATTATTTTAATATAAAAATAAATCTTACATATATATTTTAATTTTTTATAATTTTTACGCTATTATAATATTTTCATTGCATAATATATTTAATAAAAATATTTTTAAAAATCAATTTTTAATAAATAAATATCCATTATATAGATTTAATTTTATAGCTATAATACCTTTAATTAAATCTTTTAGTACTAATATATTAAAAAATTCAGTTAATAATCCTGAATCTTTAGCTATAAAACATATAAATAGTGGTAAGTTTATTACTCATTCAATTATTAATAAAATATTATTAAATCAAAATTTATCTATTACTAATAATAAATTAGAAGAATTATTAAAAGTTAAAGGCATAGAAATTGATTTACCTGTGGTGACGCTAGAAGGTAATAAACTTTTAACTGAATTAACAGGTAAATCCAAATATAAAGGATTCTTTGGTGTATATATATTTATACATAAAAAAACAAATCAAAAGTATGTTGGTTCATCTAATTTACTAAGACGTAGAATGAATTATTATTTTAAAGGTAATTTTTCTTTAACTGGTAAATTTTTACCTATTTTACATAAGGAAGGATTAGGAGCTTTTAAATTAAAAATATTTAAATTAGATAGTAATAAATTTAATAGTCAAGATGCTCTAATATTAGAACAATATTTTTTATTAAATAAAAATTTTGATTTGAATACTTTAAGAGTTGTAAATGCAGGATCTTCTAAAGGTAAAGGTGTTTTTATATATGATTTAACTTGTAGTATTTTTTATTACCATGCTAAATCAAAAATAGAATTAAAAAGAATTTTAAAAATACATCCTGAAACTTGTAAAAAATATATAGATTCTAAAGTCCCTTATTTGAACAATTTTTTGTTATTCAGTTATCCTATATCTACAGCTGTAATTAGTAGTACGCCAATTACAGAATTAATAAATATAATGCAAAAAGAAAGACAAGCTATGTATATATTAGGAACTCGTAGAAATATTTCTGTTATATTAGAAATTAAGGAAGGAAATACTTTTATAAATTCTTCTATTATAGGTCATACTTTAAATTTTTATTCTTTAACATCTTGTATAGAATATTTAAGAAAATTAGGTTTAATTATAAAAAGAGATACTCTCACTAAATATATAAAAAATGAGAAAATATTTTATAATTTTTTATGTAAGTACTCAGATAAAATTTTACCAAAAAATTTTGAAGAGGTAGGATTAATAATTGAAGAATATAAAAAATTAAAAGTAGATTCAGATTCTTTAAATATTAATAAAAAAAATAAACCTATATTAGTAAAAGGAAAAAATTTAGAAAAAAAATTTGAAAGTATTACGAATTCAATTAAATATTTTAAGACTTTAGGTATTAAGTTAAATCGTAAAACTTTATATATTCATTTAAAAAATGGTAAAGAATATAAAGGTTATTATTTTTTTTATAAATAATTAGTAATTAAACTTTTTTTTGTAAGGTAGTAATTATAAAATATTTTATAATTTTTTATATTTAAATAATTGTAGATTAAAATTGCAATGTTCTGAGTTATGTGGTGTTTTTCATTTTGGTATGCCTATTATTTTAGAAATAGTATCTATTAAAGATTATTTCACTTGGTTAAATACTGTAAACGATTAAAAAAAAAGTTATTATTTTTTTTTTTAATTTTCAGTAAAAAAATTTTTAATTTAGATATATAATTTATTTTTCTAAATATACTTAATGCCGCAAATTACTTTCAATAATATACGATTATTAATTATGGGGATTGTATGTATATACTTACTTAGACATGGTTCTGAATTATTTATTTTATTAAAACTAGAAGGAGGACAATTTTATAATTATTTAAATAATTATGGATTTAATTACTTTAAAACAAATATTTCATATCAAGATTGTTTAGCTATGATAAATAATCCTGAACTTTTTAATATAAAAGTTGAAAAAGATTGTTATACAGCTATTCCAGAACCTATAATGCCTTCACCTAAAATATTAATAGAAGCTTCTACTGTAGGAGCATTAATACTTTTATTTGAAATAATTTATATTTCACAATTTATCTTTAATTAATAATATTATTATTATTTCTTTTATTCCAATATTTAGATTTTAGAATTATAATTATATTACCTGGGTTATAATTCTAAATAAAAATTATAAAAATAATAATACAATATAAAAAATATAAATTTATATATATAAATTTATATATTTTATTTATTATATATTTAATATTATATAAAAATATATAAAATATTATTTTTTTAATTTTGTCAGATTAGCTTAATTGGTAAAGCAGTAATTTTGTAAATTACTTTATATGGATTCAATTTCCTTATCTGGCTTTACCTACTTGGAGAAATTGGTAGACTCAAATGACTTAAAATTGTTTACTCTATGAGTATGAGGGTTCAAGTCCCTCAGTAGGTAATAAAGAAAAGAATGCATTTTGGTATTGTAATCGTCCTGTAAAGACGATGGTTTTAACCGTTCTGGGTTCAAATCCCAGTCTTTTCAAAATAAATAAAAAAAGAGGAGATAGCTTAATGGTAAAGCCTACTACTCATAATAGGAAAGATATGAGTTCAAATCTTATTCTCCTTAAAAAAAAAAAACAAAATAATAAAATACGAATAAGTGTAATAGGTTTATGCACATAAGACTCATTACCTTAAAGAGATTGTTCAAATCAATCATTCGTAATTTGAAAATTAATAAAAATTTTCATAAAAAAAAAAAAGAACTGCGAATAAGTGTAATAGGTTTATGCACATAAGACTCATTACCTTAAAGAGATTGTTCGAATCAATCATTCGCAAATTAAAAACAAATTAAAAATATATATGTGAATAAGTGTAATAGGTTTATGCACATAAGACTCATTACCTTAAAGAGATTGTTCGAATCAATCATTCACAAATAGAAGATCTCATCATCTAAAGGTAGGATCTAGCACCTTCATTGCTATAATGTTCGTTCAAATCGGACTGAGATTAAAAAAGGAATCGTAACTTAAAGGTTAAAGTGTTTGCTTGATAAGCAAAAAATAATGGTTCAATTCCATTCGATTTCAATAAAAAAAGATTAGATATCTTAAATGGTAAAGTATTGGGCTGCAAACCTAATTATGAGTGTTCAATTCACTCTCTAATCTGAAAATAAAAGAGTATAACTTAATTGGTAAAGTAACAAACTTTTAATTTGTATTATTTGGGTTCAAATCCCAATACTCTTATAAAATAAAAAGCCTAGATAGCTTAACTGGTAAAGTACGGAACTGAAAATTCTGGTTAGAATGTTCAAGTCATTCTCAAGGCAATTATAAAGCTATAGTAGCTTAATGGTAAAGCAAATCACTGTTAATGATCGGATCTCTGTTCAATTCAGGGCTGTGGCTAAAAAAGGGAAAATCGCCTAATGGTATGGCAATAGTTTGCTAAACTATGCATTTATAAAATGCTTAGGGGTTCGAATCCCCTTTTTTCCGAAAAAAACAAAAGGATAAAAAATCCAATAAAAAAATAAAAAAAGATAATGAAATTAGCTTTATTATTATTTTTAATAGGAATATATGGAATAATATTAAATAGAAAACATTATTTATTAGTATTAATATCAATTGAAATATTATTATTAGCTATAACTATATTAGTACTTTATTTTTCTATTCTTCATGATGATATGTTAGCACAAATATTTGGTTTATATATTATATCTATAGCAGCTGCTGAAACAGCTGTAGCTTTATCTATATTAGTAGCTTATTATAGATTAAGAGGTACAATAAATATAACTACTATATCAGATAAAACAACAATTTTATTACCAAAATTTATATTATAATTCTAAAAAAAAATAAAAAAAAAATAGATATATAAATTTATTATCTATTTTATTAGGGGTAAATGACTGAGTTGGTTTAAGGTACTTCGCTTGAAACGAAGAGAAGTTTTGATTAACTTCCATGGGTTCAAATCCCATTTTGCCCGTACGGATAGTAGCGTAATAGGTAACGTATCTAACTTGGGCTTAGAAGATTATAAGTTCAAATCTTATCTATCCGATATAAAAAAATATGGAAAATAAAAAAAAATAAAAAAGGGAAAGAAAAGGAATGAATACATTATTATTATTTATTATATTAACACCTATTATATTAATAATATTATTAATAATAAATCTTATAATACCTGTAAATAAACCAGATTTTTCAAAATTATCACCATATGAATGTGGTATGGATACAATAGGTACAGCGAGAGAAAAATTTAATATACAATTTTATTTAGTAGCGATATTATTTTTAATATTTGATATAGAAGTAATATTTTTATTTCCTTTTGCATCTATTTTATATAATATTTCTTTATTTGGTTTTTGGGTTGGTACTATATTTATTTTTATTTTAACTATTGGTTTTATTTATGAATTAAGTAAAGGTATTTTAAATTTTATACAAAATTAATTCTAAGGGAAATAATTTAATTGGTAAAATGTTGGTCTCCAAAACTGATTTTAAAGGTTCAAATCCTTTTTTCCTTGATATATATTATTATTACTACACTCTTTACTTAATAGGTTAAAGTAATAATCTTCGAAATTATATATATGGGTTCAATTCCCTTAGAGTGTATAAAGGCGAATATAGTTTAATGGTAGAACTACAATTTGTGGTTTTGTTAATATGGGTTCAATTCCCTTTATTCGCCCTATACTCGTTTAGCTTAATTGGATAAAGCATCGATCTTCTAAATCGTTTATTGAAGGTTCAATTCCTTCAACGAGTATTATAATAATTTTAATATATTTATATCCTTTATTTATTATTCCAATATCTTTTTATATACTTTATTCTTTTTATATAAATAATAAATATTTATAAATATTTATTAAGTATAAAATTATTGTATTTTTATATTATATAAATAGCTTAATATATAAAAAAAAAAAGTAAAAATTTTATAAAATTAAATTAAAAGAGATAAATTTATCATTAGATAAATAATATATAATTATATAATTATTATTGATTGGTTTAAATATAATAATATTATAATATTATTATAAAAATTAATAAAATAATTTTATTATTACTT